TACCTCCTTACCGCGTTCTTTTTTCCTTTTTTTATGCTCTGCAAGGGTGGTAACATTGAGTGTCGCGATTAGTTAGCCGGAGGCGGAACGATATCGCTTAGGTCGCGTTCAGACTTCGCGATGGCAACGCTTCGGTCGCGCGATCGACGCAACCAAAGCGCATACTTCGACTGCATTATTCGCTTAACGCACGATCAACGGTGCCGGCGCGAAGTCTGAACGCTGCTTAGCTCTCACAAAATGAACAGATCAGGGAACTTGTACAGTGAGGCGCCAGGTGTGCTTACTCAGGGTGCTCCCTAACTTTCTTTGCTCTTGGCGGCAGTAAGTTCTTTACTGAACGCCACTATTCGCAGTATGCGATCGCGGAGTTTCTCTTCAGGCACTGAATCATTCTGGGATAAAACTGTTTGCAAAAAGACTTATTGTAAGATAGCGTTCAGACTTCGCGACCTTATCGCTCGATCGATCCGGCAGAATTCAAATTGGGCCGCATTCACACAGTGCCAATCTGAATTTTGCTGTTGCGGCGGTGGAGCGTGGTCGCGTGATCTAGTCGCTCGAGCAATCCCGCTTGCAAAGTATGAGGCGGTCGAAGCGCAGTTTTTTAGGCATGAAATTGATGATCGGTGACGAGCTACGACTCAAGCATAATCAAACGATCGAAGAGGGAATGGCAATGTTTGGGACAGGTTTTCAAGATCCCTGATAGTGAGTTTTGCTTTTCCGTAATGTTTTTGATCACAGTTTTCATAGCCTTTTGAGAAAACGAGCTATCGAGCTTTGTTTTGATCCAACACTATTTGTTTCTCGTTTTGATATGATTTTTGAGCTCATGACGTGATTTTCGCAACTTTTTCTTCGTATTCCCCCATTTCAGATCATAGCGACGAGATTGGAATAGAAATGCGTGCTGCTGCCTCGGAGAAAATGCCCACTGATCCGCGCATCAATTTCACTTGTGAGGTAAGCATAACAATAGTGTTGCCTTACTACTGTTTTCCTATGATTTCACTTCAGGCTGTGTGGAACTCGACGTCATTCGATCGGATGTATCAGGCGTTGAATACACTAGAAAAAGATCCTCACTGCGTTTCTCAGTACATTTTCCATAAGCTCATGGGGCACGATATTGACGAGATTCTTTTCAAAGTAAGTGGTTTTTGGCTACTCTGCGTTTCAAGTGTTTGTGTTGTGGCCATCTTCAATCGGGCATTAATGGCTTTGGAACAGAGATAAATCGTCGCTTTTCATGTAGCGTTCTTTCAAAGTGGGCGAATTTGCCTGGGACGGAGTGAGCAGCGTCGGTGTTATCGCACATGCTATATAAGTACCAAAAGAGCCGAAGTTATGAATACCCTGAAAGAGTAGGCGTCGCTAAAAATTGAAGGCTGAGTCCTCGCCACAGGCTGTCGGCGGTCCTTCGGCCCCTATGGGTCAGTCACAAGGAGACTAGTCTGAAATATTGTTCGAAACGTTTTTGTAGGTGCAACAACCCAAACGACTATCGGCTCCTGGCCTTCCTGAGTTGAATCACAGCCAAATGCATGCTGTAAAAACAGTTCTCATGAGACCGCTGAGTCTTATTCAAGGACCGCCTGGAACTGGAAAGGTTTGTCTGTGAACCATCAGCCTTTATTGTTTTCCTATAGTAAGCATTTTCGCTTGAAACCTCTATTAATGTCATTCATTTAGACAGTAACATCAGCCACTATCGTCTATCATCTGGTACAGCAAACACAAGGTCAAGTGTTGGTTTGTTCTCCATCTAATATTGCGGTGGATCAACTTGCTGAGAAGATTCACCGTACTGGGCTGAAGGTGAGGATCTGCTTGTGCTTATCAACTTATTTATTTTCCTATGTGTTGAGAATATGAAATGTTAATATTATATCCCTTAGGTTGTTCGGCTTTATGCAAAGTCTCGAGAAGCACTGGACACAAACGTTGAATTTCTTGCATTGCACGCTCAGTTGAAAGCGCTCAAGGAGTCTGCCGAATTGCAGAAACTTCAACAGTTGAAGGTTTTTGGAATTTCTAATGCGTGAGGGT